TTTATGAGACAGACAGGATGGGAAGAACAAAAAGTTCGGAGGGAGTTTTGAATAGAAATGCAACCTAAATGTACGTAATAATATGAATCATTAGTAAGCATGCATTAAATGTGCAAAATAATCCTTACTCCATATTCCATAAGCTACTGCTTGGCTCGTGGTACGTATGCATCAAGATTGTTTATCTAATTCACTCTTTTCACAGGACTAATAAATGATTACTCCTGGTTTGAAGGCGTTCTCCTTGTTTTGGTATTGGTAGTGTTTACAAGGGTTGGATTGACGAGCAAGATCCCGCGGCCTCTCCATTATTGAAACCTCAAACTAGCCGAATGGTTGTTGCTATTATTAATTAAGGAGATTTCAATTCAATGTTTGATGGTTTATCGTCTCTGTAGAAGATTCCCTTCAACTTGTGTCATCACCTGCCTTACTTAATACGATTATACGAATTAAGTTTATTTTCTTGATTTAGCTAGAGTAATGAAGTGTTACATTTTATATTCTACTCTTAATTTTTGTATCTATAAAATGTACCAATTATTAAGGAGCTTAAGAGTTACAATGTTTTCTTACAGTATATTCTTAATTTTACTTCAGATACAAAATAAATAATCTGTTAGTTTTACGTGTTAACTCATGTATTCCTCAGGTCAGAGGCTCATATGATGAATGCGCTAACTCTATAGATTCTCTAGTTGGCATAACTAAGAAACTAGTTAAGCAACATCTTTTCGCGTCTCTTTGCTTCTAGGCCTAGTTAAGATACTACTTACTCTCTCTGTTCCTATTTATTTGCCCCATAGGCAAAATGTGTTTTTATTAATGATTGAACCAAAGTTTGTAAGTGGGTTGGGGGTATCCTTGTCTTTTACAGTTTTATGAGTGTGTGCAAGTGGGGTTGATGGTGGGGACATATTACCAAATAAGGAAATGGAACAATCTTCAAGGGTCATCCTAATATGGAATATGCGGCAAACAAATAGGAAAAGAGGGTGTATTACTTAATACTCCTCATATGACTAAGCTTAGCATCAACAATTAACTGTATGTATGTAGGTACTTATTATGTTGAATTCTAATTACACATTATGTTAATGAGACTTTTCATTCTATGTATGTGTACTTATTAGGTCTAATTATGCATATATAGGACACTTTGATCATCATTTGGACCAAAAATATAGGTGATTTTCACAAAATAGTCGAGTGACTCGAGTCTGACACTTAGACACGCGTTTGTCCAAAAAATTGTTGTTACACATGTTTGTCCATAAAGTTGTTGTTACATCCAATTCTAATTATGAAATTATGAGCATCTTTGAGTTGGAATAATGGGGAGTATAACTTTAATGATGGCTTTCAAGCTTGGACTTTTGGTAATGTTTTTCAAATAAAGTGTTTAACAAGTCCAACACCACAAAGTCCATAATGTTTGCAAGGACTCGTAACCGTAATTGCAGTAGTATGAAAGCAAAATTGAACAAGAACGTTGATCATATTTACAACATTTGTATTGATTTGCAACATGTTTAGCGGCAATGCTACATGGGTGACATGTGTCAGTTTGTGGTAGGAACTTAGGGATCATTTCAAACCCCCATAAAAAAGAATTTTTTTAATTTTTATTTTCTAACACATATCGAGTTTTTGCATGTTTATATATTTTTATTTTCTCTCTCTCTCTTTTAACTATATATACATATATATATTTTGGTTGGTAAGGAGAAGGGTCTTAGTGCCTCTAGTAGAGTGTGGAGTTTGATCCCACAAACTCTTGATTGTAATACACAAGTGTTCCGCATTACGATAGCTTATAATATTAAATGATGAAAATCGATCCCAAAATCCCCTAAAATCGGGAGGAAAGCTCTAACCACTTGAGCTACTTCTCACTTTTCACGTTAGCTAATAATATGAAATTTTGATCATTAATATTTAAAATAACTTGACCATTACATGAAAGGATACTTAAATACTAACTCCATTTTTATTACGCTTGTCAACGCACTATTTTAACGATTAATATATCTAATTATCGACATTTTAAAATTATAAAAAGTGGATATTAATGAAATATACATTGAGACGATTCAAATAAAATCTCACTTTTTTTTTTATATATTTTAAAATAAGATCCCACTTAACTACGTATTATTATAGATATAAATCACAAAAGTTAGTCAAAGTGTAATTTGTTAATAGTGTAAAAGTCAAATGGTATAACTAAAAAATCGAAGGAAGTAGTAAAGAGTGTTATTACTTCTTATTAGTAGACAAAGACTTGTAAAAATACCTTTTATTTGGACCAATTCTCTCACACTTTTTCACAAGTCAAAACTCGTGCATTATTTGACACATAAATAAAGTGCACGTACAACAAACGAGTCGAATAATTAAGAATTAGGAGACATTTTCTCCTTTATTTTTTCCAGTTAAACTATGCCAAAAATAAAGAACAAGTGCACGTACAAGTCAAAACTCGTGCATTATTTGACATATAAATAAAGTGCACGTACAACAAACGAGTCGAATAATTAAGAATTAGGAGACATTTTCTCCTTTTATTTTTCTAGTTAAACTATGCCAAAAATAAAGAGCAAGTCAAGTTAATATACCAGTAAAAGATTAAAAGGACTGTGAAATGGACGAATGTATGGTACATAGTTACTCGGTAAAGTCTCCGATTAAAAAAAGTATAGTGTTTCGATTGTCATAGTTTGACTTGTTAGATGTAAACCCAGGTCAAAATTTCAAATTATGTAGTAACTTATTATGTTTTGAGGCTTAATTACAAATTACTTTGCTAGTATCAACAAAAAATTAGCGTTTATTGTAGGTGCAAGTTAATGATATGCATTAATATAACTCGTTTGGTAATCGATTATAATCCATAGTAATGAAAATTGGAGTCTCGTTTGAGCAAAAGAACAAGATTTTGGATTGTATTTAAATTTAGAAATAATTTTTTTTTTCTTTTCAATGATTATATACAAGATCGATAACTCCCAGTTTGTTTATTTTTCTTCATAAATTTTCATTCCTACGTAATACCACCTCCCAATTGATAATGGATGGTAATGGAAAACTCAAAGAAAAACACAAGCTTGTTGGAGGATGAGATTATTTTCTCATGAAGGATATATATTTATAGGTTGTTTTCCACACTAAATTACACTGAAAATTCATTTAAGCTAGCCATCACACAATTTATAATCAACTACCAAATAGGTGTAATAATAACATGTTCTATTCACTTGATTTTAATGTATCAAAACTATTTTAAAGCTATATGGATTTATTAGTGTTTATATTATTAATAAATTTAGTCGTTATCAACTAAATAAATTTTCTTGATCATTTTGAATTTGATCTAACATATTAGCTCCAATTTGAGCTTATTATTGTTGAAATAGATGGAATGTGTAATCTCTTTCTAATTCTAATCATCCCATTTGAAATACGTAGTATATCACTTAAAAAGTCAAAATTTTAACTATGATTATTCAATGATTTTTGATAAACATAGGTGTTATCTTAAACTTAAAAGTATGAGATTTAGAAACCAAGAAGGATTATGTAGGACTCACATCAAACATCATATATTAAATAAAAGATATAGATACAACTAGAATCAAATACATATTATAAAAAATTAGTTCCCAAAATCATACTTATTACTTTGATTTTATTCATAAGTTCAACTCATACTATTCTGCAAACCAAATGCCTCGTAAGTGACATCAAGGTAATGGAAAATTTTTAGAAGTAGAATGATTTGAAAACTAATATACCTTTATGGAAATAAAGGTAATCAAAATAACCCTATTGAATTAACAAATCTCAAAGTTGAATTCAATTTAGCATTTTAGGTCAAATTCGTAAAGAGTTTTTTTGGGGTGGGGGATAAGAAAATTTCAACTACCAAAAAGCCCTAGCTTATTGAGACTAAATTTCTATAACTTTCAAATCATGATGTCAAATCTTTACCTCAAGGATAAGCCTAATTTGCCAGCTTGGTAATGAATACTACTTCTTATGATAGATGGTAAAATACCAAAAAGGTAATAAAGGGAAACTCTTAGAGGAATAACCTGTTACGGAGTACTCCGTACTAACTACTCGAAAAGTTGTAACTCATGACTAGTACTTAAAAATATCTTTTTGAACATACACGAGCTATTTTTAGCTACTCTGTTTTAAACTATACTTAAAATTACGTATACTGAAGATAGAAATTTTAGTGTCTCAAATACCTTTAAACATTATGGCATGACGTAAAAGTGGAACATATGTATCATTTATGTATACTAAATCTTCGCACTCACTAAATTTAATCCCACCTACATTTCCTCTCATGGACTGTAGGGAAAACAAAAGAAAATATCCCTAGATCTAGGTAGATAAAAGATGCAAACAAAACCATTGTTTCAAATTGACTGCAATCTAGGAAGACATAATATCTAAGACTAGTAAAACAAAGCATCTTTTCAACACATAGGAGGGCCAGAGGGTGCGGTACACACGGAAGTACCTAATCCAATTCGATGAAATGTTTCTCGTGTGAATGACTACGTGACTATCTCTATGTGTGATGGTGTGAACAGACACTAGAAAACACAAACATTAACTAATTATTAATTAAATAACCTAAAATCCGAACAACTCATTGGGTGATTTAAGTGATTTGGATCGTGTGGTATGAGAATTGTTTCACCTTAACTAATTTGTTTTGTGTTCAAGCATGCAAACTACACCAACTTTTATCGAAGGATGAGAGTTGTTTCACCTTAAACAAATGGTTTCGTGCTCAAGCATCTAGAATACAACAATGTTTATGAGACGATGAAAATTGTTTTGGTTTAATCAAATGTTTCGTGCTCAAGCATCTAGTACGTGTACAACAAAATTTATCAGTAAATACTACTTTCGTTAAATATGAGTTGTAACTTTGGAGGGTAATATAAAAACTTTCACTCAAAATAAAGCTTAATTTCGCCTTAGATTAGAATTAATCAGAGTGTAACAGTCTAACAAACTTTTGATTATCTGGTAACATACCCCATAAAGTGACTTTTTGATAGAAGAGAGTTGCAGGGCGACTTCCAGGCACCCTCTAAAGACCTTCCTCTTTCTTTGTAATCGTTTGAATTTGTTTTTAAAATTCCTCTCGTTATTTTTTTGCTTTCTCTTTCTTCTTCCTCTTTCTTCACTTTCTAGGAAACTTGTCAATTTCCCATGTGTTAATACTATAATTTTTTTATCAATTCCTTTCATACTTAATTGGGTTTTATTGTTTAATTTTGTTCTTGCTATAACTAGTAGCTCTGTGATCTTGGTTCAATTTCCTCTGCTTTTTTTTTTTTTTTTTTTTTTTGTTGCTGATTTGGTGCAAAACTCAGATGGGTAATTGCTTTGGTTCTTCTGCACAAGTGGATAATTTCAACTCTAATCCTACTTCTGGTATGCTTTAATTTTGTGCTGTTAATTGCATTTCTATTTATGGGTTTTTGATTAAATTTAGAATCTTGTTCACTTACTATGTATGGTAAATTAGTTTCTGATATTAATTAATTGCTGATTATAATCTTGCTTTTTTCTTTATTGCTCTATTAAATGTTTGAAGATTTTTATTTAGGGTGTGGAATTTTCATGTTTGATGTTGATGGTGTATTTTGCTTTGAAAATTGGTGCCTTTAAATTTTAGGGATAGAATTCAATAACCCAGATTTTGTCATTAAATTGGTACCTTCCTGATATTTTTTCCAGAAAAATTGTTAAGTCTTTTGCTGTTGATGTCCTCCTAGTTGGAGCAGGCATTTAATCCGAACCAAAGACGGGTTTTTGGGGTTAGCTCACCCTTGCGGGATCGTGACGCTTAGTTACCAACTTGATATTATTCCACCCTTATTTACCATTATTATTGTTCACTTTGTGATGAATCATGATTGATTGTTGAGAGGGTGGTTAATTGTTTCGGGACTCGTTGACTATATGTTATGGTGTTGTTCTTGAACTTTAAGCAATCTATATCTTAATAGTTGTTGAAATTTGGAGCATTGTTTTTCATATCAAATCATTTAGTCAAAAGTTAGTAAGAGTAGCGGCAAATAAGTAATGATTGTGCAATAAGTATGATTTTACTATCGAGTGTAGAATAATGGCTAAGGGTTAAATCTCATTACTTAGTTAGGGTATGTTCGTCGTTTTCCTCAAAGGCAATGGCCTGGCTTTGCATCCAAGTATTGGTTGGTTTATTTTGCTTCTTTGACCTTTTTATTGGCCATATAAAGTAGCTGATGTCATCAGATTTTTTTTAAGATGTTTGGTAAATTCAGGCATTGTTTGGGTAGTTTAATGATGCTTTGATGCTAAAAGATCAATTGCAGAACTATTTTCCTATTATATACTTGCTGCTTGACCTTGTTAATGGATTTAAAACTAAGAAAAAAAGCTGGAAATAATTAATGTACCAATTAAGGTCAATGATGATCAACTGTATAGCTTGATGTTTAGATGTTGTCACTGCAATGCTCATTCCCGCTGATAAGGTGTTAACTGGTTTAAATTCTGGTTTGTTGCCTAACTTTCATCCAGGAATATGTAGTTTTCAGAAATTTGTTCGTCGTAAATCTCATGCTTTGTATCCAAGCTTCTGAGTTCTGACCAAGGCTTTTTATGTTTTCTTCTATTGTTGTTCTGAGTTCTGACCAAGCCTAAATGCCTAATGCAAACCGTTATCTGAGTTTAGGGACTGTGATACAAACATATACATAAATCTTCAGGCATCATTATGAAATTATCTCTCTGTTTAGATATAGTTGTCATGTTGTCCAATCCTATCATGATTAAGGATCTAACATAATTTCATTCAGATACCTAACTTATATTAGTTCCTTTATTTCAAAAGGGGTGTACGGGTGTCATAGAATATTCAGTGTTTGTTCATTGCTATTAGAAACACACGAAAAGTTTAGGCAAAATCTTGTGTTAAATTTCATTCATCTATATATGGTACAAAGAGACTCTCGATGCCCTAATGTAAAGCAGAAGCTACTTTTTTTAACGAATTGTGCTTTGCCTAGAGCCTTCTTAAAAATTTCTGCTCACTGGAATCCATTGAACATAACAATGAGAGACTACAAAGCCCTAATCTGAAGCAGAATCTACTTGTTAACAAATTAGGAAACACAATCAATTTTATATCGTGACAAAACATGACAACGTCTCATTCATCCCATGATAACATATTTGACTATTTAATTATATGGAAGGAGTAAATGTCTTTAGAAAGGATGGATTTTGATACCAACAACCATTACTTTGATGAGTAATGAAGCTTATTTTGAAAGTTTGCATCAAATGTGTATAAATTATCCTAGAGCTTTTAATTTTGCTTCTCTCTCTTTTTCCCCATCTTTCTACTTTAAAATTTTGATGCAAGTCTGTTTTCAGCCTCAGGAGCCTCAAAAGTTGGTAGTGGTGGAGGGATAAGCCACTCCTCGAACTTGTCTAGTTCGGTTGTCTCAGCACCAAGTGTCAAAAGTATCAATCAAAGTCTTCCGACTCCAAGATCCGAAGATGAAATATTGTCGTCTCCTGGTTTGAAGGCCTTCTCCTTCAATGACCTTAAAACCGCCACCAAAAATTTCCGTCCTGATAGCCTAATTGGAGAAGGTGGTTTTGGTTATGTTTTCAAGGGGTGGATTGATGAGCATACTCTCTGTCCTTCAAGACCTGGATCTGGAATGGTTGTTGCAGTCAAGAAGCTTAAACCTGAAGGTTTCCAGGGTCACAAAGAGTGGTTGGTAAGTTTCTGCATCTTTTAACATTTGTTCACTTCTCACTGGAACTCCTTAGCCTGTTTCCTTATAGCTGATTTTATGCAGACAGAAGTAAATTATCTTGGCCAACTACATCATGCTAATCTGGTGAAACTTATTGGGTATTGCGTTGAAGGTGAAAATCGACTCTTGGTATACGAATTTTTGCCCAAGGGAAGCCTAGAAAATCATCTGTTCAGACGTAAGTAACTCTAGTCGGGTGTTAGTTTTTTTTTTTTTTTTTTATTAAAGATACGCATACAAATTTTCAAGAATTATTTCTGTAAATGTCCTTGGTAATTTACCGAATTTACTAAATAAACAACTCCAGAATGCATATTTTGTAATCCCTTGAGATCAACGAGGAATTGAGGTTTTTTCTTTGGTGTGTTTGGATTACTCTTTTACATTTATCTGACATGCATGTGCAGATTTTAATACCAATATGGCTATATTCAATGTTCTTAGCCTATCATAGTTCCCATTGGATTTATGATCAACTTTGCAACTGCTATTTTTGCTCTGCATTTCATTTAGCATTGTCTTTTGAGCCAATTCTTTTGGTTGGTTGTTGGTTCAGTAATATTTTGCATTAGGTTACTTCATGTTTCAGTTGCTCCACTTGCATGTTGGTTCTAGATGTGTTGTCATATAATTATTCTTATCAAAGTAAATCCCTATAAAATTGTAGTGTTATACGGAGTATTTGCTATATTGAAGTCTTGGTAATCTGACAGAAAATAATTTTCTGCAGGGGGGCCTCAGCCAGTCTCCTGGGGAACAAGGATTAAAGTGGCAATCGGTGCTGCTGAAGGACTCTCTTTCCTTCATGATGCTGAATCACAAGTCATTTATCGTGATTTCAAGGCATCAAATATCTTGCTAGATGCTGTATGTTCAGACTTTGGCATTTATATTGTGTTATCTGACTCATCTCCTTGCATATAATGAGCAGTTTTCTGATATCACTTTTCACGTTTGCAGGAGTTTAATGCGAAGCTATCAGATTTTGGGTTGGCAAAAGCTGGGCCCACAGGAGATCGTACTCATGTGTCAACTCAGGTCATGGGAACTCAGGGTTATGCAGCGCCAGAATATGTAGCTACAGGTTCGGCAGTTACCTATTTGATCTCAAGATTGTCTTTCCTTATTGTCTGAAAATCATTAAAAGTAACTTATACAGACCATTCCTTGTTTATGCCACTTTGCATTAAACCACCCCTTATTTTGGCTTTTCATTTGAGAGTTTTGACCGGCCACATTATTTTTATTATTATTATTTTTTTTATTACAACTTGCCAATCATCAGCCCTTAGGTGTTTAAAAACTGGCTGGATAACCAAGTGTGTCCAAGTCTCCTTTTACCCCCAATAAGAATTACAGAAAAAACTGAGGTCTGTGTGGAAAAGAACTTAGATCGATGCTGGAGTATGTTTGGATATCCTACTGTTGCCAAAATAGTGTAAATACTCATCTGGTTAAAGGGGATGTCATAAGATACCTCTTTGACTAATTGGCTGTTAAATAACTCTTAATAGACGAAAGGCCCTGTATCATCAAGTGAAAGTTGGGAAAGAGGGATGTATATGTCATTTTCAGCAAAAGGAGTTGGTGTGAGCTACATAGTCAAACTCAAATTTCTTATTTTATTTTATTATTTGAATAATTTTAAAAATTAATTAGCTGTTGGCTAATCCTTGCCATGTAACTGTTTATATTGACAGTTTTGCATAACTTAATACTAATCATCTGGCGTCTTTCACCAGGTCGCCTTTCAGCAAAGAGCGATGTCTATAGTTATGGGGTTGTGTTGCTTGAACTATTAACTGGACGACGTGCACTTGACAAATCAAGAGTTGGTGCAGAGCAGAGTCTGGTAGATTGGGCAAAGCCATATTTAGGGGACCGAAGAAAGTTATTTCGAGTCATGGATACCAAACTGGAAGGCCAATATCCCCAAAAAGCCGCTTACACTGTTGCTTCACTTGCTTTACGATGTCTAAATCCTGAACCAAGATCAAGGCCTAAAATGTCAGAGGTCTTAGAGGAACTCAAGAAGCTGCAGGACTTAAAAAATGCAAGTAAAAGCTCCCTTGGTGGCAAAAACATTTCCAGCCCCATGAGGTCTCCAATGAAAAACCATCATTCTCCCATGCATTATACCCCCTCGGCATCCCCACTGTCATCTCATCGACAATCTCCCCGTGTTCGCTGATTATGGAGAGATAGCACTTCAGTGTTTGTTGGTATATCTTTACCTTAAAATGTATGTAAATATTGGTGGTACATCCTTGTAGAAGGCGGCCTAAAGCTTAGGTAATGTTTTACTGTCACCTGCCCTTTTTTCTGACTTGGTCTAGAAAGAAAAGTTTTGTATTTTTTTTAAAATATCTTAATATTTTTGGGGTGTGGTGCCAGTTCTCTGTTGTATGTATTTATGAAATTCGCTATGTAGTTAGGAGCTTAAAATGCTTCTAGAATGCATCTATTGTATTGATAATTTAATATCTATATTGAGTGAAATGCTAGATTTCCAATTTTATCCATGTATCTTTGTACTCATTTATGTGCAGCAAAAGATAGAAATCTTACAAACTTTGTTGGTGAGGTCTGAGGTGAATAAATGTAAACGATCATTATATAAGTACACATATTAAATAACTTTCTCTTAAGCAATAATTGATTATCGTTGAAACGATTTAGTTCACAAGGTATCATCAGTAAAACCCGGGAGAACCATGGGCATGTATAGTTGCATGCAGAGAAATAATCACTATATGACTGTGCTACAGCGAGTGGTGATTATGACAGTCTATTTGTTCCTCTGCTGCTCTTGTGCTTTTCTTCTTTTATCCCATCGTTTATTTTCTGCTGCTCAGTGAAAACTCAGATTTACTTTGCTAGCTGTGCTACTGACAATGTATGGATACTTCTGCTTCTGTTTATGCAAATGTTAGTTTTCTGTAAATTACTCACGCCTTGAACATTGAAGATTGATCTTTTGCTAGGTTTCTAATGTTGTACTTAGATTGATCTGTTACCTTAATCTCTTGATACTAGTACTTTTACCCAAAAGATGCAAGTTGTAAATTCAATTGTTACTGATATCAGTGACATGTTAGCTTTTCCAAATTTTACCTGATAACAAGCTGATTTATTCTAATTTTGCTTATAGTGATGTATAGACTGATAGACAATATATCTTTGTGCTTGTGATGAAACAGGGAGCTCAGTGTTTATTCTCGTTCCCCACGTGTTTATAGAGTGATAGTTCTTACTTTGCCTGTAGCTGCTTCTGATTATATGCAGTATAGCTTGAAGCTAATGTCTATCCGACCTCATTTGTCATTGCAGGGGTTAAGATTGTACGTATCTGACCCCCTCCCCCGCTCCCTGCTCTCTGTGATTGCAAATAACACAAATTGTGTTCTTACTGTCCCTATCAGCCTAATTATAAGCATTTAAAATTGCATCCATAACGCATCGCGGAGTATTGTATTATGTAAGTCAATTCATGCTATGTAGTATCCAGTTTCATTTCCTTGCAAATTGGATAAGATTATAAGGTAAATGATCCAACATCACATTTTAATTGTCGCTAACTGACATGAAGAGGTTTTTTCCGGTTTTCCCTCCCCCCTTTCTCTGTAGGATGTTTTTGCAGTCACTACCCTCGGAACAGGACAGGGTAAATATCTTACTGTTGAAGGTTGATGCCAAACCGTACCCTCACATTATCAAGTAGGTTTTATAGCAATAAATAGTGGTTAACCAAAAGAAAAAGGTTATTCTATGGAGTCTTTCACACCATTATAGCGGTATTTCCTTAGGCTAGATTAGAGAATCCTGAACCTAGCCGCAACTGTAGGCTAGATTAGAGAGGCATTTCAGGAAAGGGTACTGTTAAGCTGCAGAGTGCAGATCAGACGTGAGTGTTGAATATCCCATTCTGTCACTTCAGTTTTCCTGCTTTCTGTCTGTCATTTTCTCTTCAGAGTGAGCAAGATATTTGCTGTAAAGGTCCGTTTTCTGAAGTACTGCAGCTAAGATTTGCGATTTGGCAGTACTAAATTTCTGTATCAGTAGTATGCCAAAGTAACCTTCACTGAGGAAGCAATTTTGGAAGATACTCTACCAAATTCCAGTACCTTTTATGTACATTATCACGTCAATAACGGCTGCAAAGTTTCTGTTGCACTCAACGATGAACAAAGAAACTATTCTGAAGTATTTGATGGTCACAAAACCTTACTATGCACTCCTATAGCTGACATGATCTCTGATAGATCAACTGCTGGCGACGCTTGCCCTGGCTGTGAACTGATATTAAGGCCTAAACTGTCGGATTTCTTAGAGGAACCCGAGAAGCTTAAAGTGAACTCAGTTATGTTAAGTCTAGTTACAAGTTTTTCTCAGGCAATGTTGAGGTTGGAAGGAAACAAGACCAATCCACCTTAAAATCTTAATCAGCAGTATGACATTGGCAAGTACCATCATCTTAAAACCTTGAACACGAACGGTTAGGATTTAGACTGGAAGTCGTGGACCGGGCTAGAAAATAAGCATAGGCTATGCTAAAATTTGCTGTAAAGTCCTTCGGGACCAGGACACACGCACCCTATAATTTGGCATCGATCACTTTGTGCCATCCGCAGTCCAAACTACTTGGCTTAAACCAGCCCAAATCAGAACAAGCAGCACATATCTGATTTCTTGCAGTGCATTTCACTAATAATGTATCAAATCTACAACTAATTAACACTTCTTGAAGTAAATTCAACAAATAGTATGTCATTTCTACAACTAATTAGAGGTAAGATTTGGTAAAACGCATTAAAATTGCATCCAATTCAGTTTCTTTTTTGGGCTTGTCTACTCATTTTTGGAATATCCCCATCAACAATTTTATCTCTAAAAACAAAATCTTGAATTGTTTTGAACCTGGTCATGTCCTTGTGCCAGGTTAGACTCGTTTAGAGGGCCTAGAGGCAGATTCTGCATTTAGTGCCTGACTTAACCATTCTTTTTTTATCTTCTAACTTTCTGCCTTTTCTTATTCAAACTTCATAAAATTTTGCCTTTTTTTTTTTCCCTTGGATTGTTAGCTTATATTACATGGTCACATAAAAAAAAATGTTTTTTTGCTTTTCATTATTGCTGTTATTTTAAAGAGTTGCATGATTTCCTTTCATTTATATGACATTTTGAAGATAACTTTTAAAATGTTATTATCATATATCCGAAAATTGAGGAGTTGTTTTTAAACCTTATAACTACCACAACTCTTTAAATTAATACATAAAAGAAACTTTCCAATTTCCATACATCTTATTAAGGATGCATTTAATCATAATATAGTTTATAAAGATAACTTCTACTAGTATTTTTGTTGATAAGATATATCCAGTGCATTAGCATATCACGTAAGACTCTAGAAAAATAGCAGATCGTAACTTCTCTCAGACAGTAGCATCATTGTTTAAGCACTTTAAGAGTATCTGGTTAGCCAATAAACTTGCCTGGTTAAAAGCTTTGATGATTTTATTCATTATTAATATGTATATATATATATATATATATATATATATATATATATATATATATATATATATATATATATATATATATATATATATATATATTTATTTATTTATTTAACAATGGATTACAATGATGCTAGGAATAAATGCATGATTAGTTAATAGTCTAGTAGAAGTGCTTTACTACTTTCTTTAATGCAAAATATAAGGGAAAATGAGATGCCCATGCATGCAAAATATAGTGTTTTTGATATGTATTCTCAAGGTTTTAGGATGATGGCCTTGCTGGTTAGCAATTGCTCTGTTTTGACTCTGCCTTTGGACTTTGGTTGTTACTGATTTTACATTTATTTTTCGAAACTTTTTCGGGTTTGTGCTCGGTTTAAAGTGTTGTATAGAATTACATTCATCCATTACGATCTTGTGTAGTTGTGTTCCTAACATGTTTTACTTGTATACTATGGCCGTTAAGATTATGACAATTATTTCATAACAAAGGGAAGACTGAAATATAGCTTAAGATTTTTCTAGTTAGTTTCTTAGGAGTCTTGCATGCTAACCAATAACTAAATATGTTGTTGCCTGACAAAGAAAATAATTACTGTTGTAATCTGAAATTTGTAAGTAATTCATTATATGATGTTACCTAACAAAATTTTCTTAAGATGTTACCTTCTGTTTTGTAGGCCCTATTTGCAAGTGGTATACAAAAATTAAGTAGGAACCCGAAGAACGCGATAGCAGAAGAAACGGATCCAGAAGGATATGAGTAAACCTGCATTGGCTTATGGATGCAGAATGCAGGTACCCATGTAGTTAATATTGTGACATGCAACAAAAAAAGAACAAAACTTAGCTGCCGAAATTTGTTTCATCTCTGTAGTTAAACTACAATGCACATTATTTCACCTCACGTCGATTTTAACCTGAATGTTTATGAAATGAAAAATAAATAATCGGAAATCAAATGAACCCGGGAGTTCCCCCAAACGCTTCAGTAGGGATTCGAAAAATCGTTTCCCTAATGAAGTGTTCAGAGGAACTCTAGGGAACATCTAATGTGTTAGTTGAATTTAACAATATGATACTTAACATAGTCATGCTATTTATAGCAAGTTGGTAAGAAATATATTCTGATTGTCACATTATAAGGCTTTTTAGAGAAGTAATAGAACCTAGTCGTGTTCTTGGGCTAAGTTAGACGTATCATCATAAAGAACAACTAACAGATCTATCTATACTTCTCTTGATCATGTAAGGGGTCAATATTCCATCTTTAACTTTTTTTTTTTTTTTTTTTTTTTTTTTTTTTGGATTATTTATGCTTCTGATTTTTTTTTTTAATACTTCTTTCTATATCTTTTGCATTTTCTAACACATGCTTATGTCTCCCACATGTCTATATCTAATACTGAGTATGAGTAATGATCTTACTTTTTGTTTGTTAATCATATATAGATTCATAGGTGTATCAAAATATTTTACTCCCGTTTATGAAAATTTGACTTGGTTTTTGGACGGTATTTTATGTGCATATTAATATACATGGATAAAATCTTGAAAAAATTTCGTGAAAAACAAAAAAATTTAAAAAATATAACTAGTTAATGTTCGAGCCATGCTCACATTTATATATTAATATATAGGTGAATAAATTGAAATTAGGTCAATATATATTGGTCATCTATTGACCTATTTTTCTTAACAATCCAGCTTCCAAAATTACTTTAATTTATATTTCATCTACTAAAACCTTTCCGTTCACTTTCAGCTACTACAATATTTGCAATTTAGCACTATTAAAATGCTTACATTATTTGATCGCCTTTGGTGATTTACATATATGGAGATATATAATACATTTGTCTTGACTCTTGATTTATATTTTCATAATATCACATTTTAATAATTTATACTCCTTCCGTTCCTTTTTGTTTGTTATGTTTTGATTTTTGGTATTGTTCATAAGATGAGAGAATCTTCTAATTTATTCCCAATATATAAAA